CGGAGGCCTGAGATCAAGGTCCTAGCAGGGGAGGATCCAAAGCGTGAACATTGGTAAGCGAATACAAATGAAGCTGACCTAGCAGGGGAGGATCCAAAGAGAAGAAACTCTAAGGGTCCGCCTGCTAGGTAGCTGACTATATACTGCTTGTCCGTAGCTGCCGCTGTCGGGCACAGAAGGCTTGGGCGGCGTCGCAGGCGAGATCCCAGGGCGACCGTCGGGAGGGCGTTGACGGATCGGTGATTGTGTGGGCGAGATGGAGGGCCGGACCGGAGTCGGAACCGGAGTCGGACCGGAATCGGGCGCGTCTCCGGGCCGAAAGGGAGGTTCCCCTGACGAGGTCCTCGAAGTCGTCGGTGTATCCGTAGACGTCCCGCGTTCCCATATGATAACCCGCGCTTTCCAACTTGGCGAGCGCGAGGTCTTGCTCGTTCTCCTCAACGAACCGAAGGCGAAACTCGGAGAGGAATAGGTTCCACCGAGGGAAGGGGAAAGGGGTTTTGCTTCCATGACGCTCTGCCCACTGCTGGGCAGGTCCCTCCGCCATATAGGACATGGCGTAGCGGACGGCCTTCTCTTCGCTCGGCTCTCCGTTGACCACGAAGGCCTCCGGGGCAAGCCGGGCGTAAGTTTTGACCGCGTATAGGAAGGCGCGGCCGTGTTTGCGATCTCCGTTAAACGCAAACCGGGGGGTTTGGCCGTAAGACCAGTTTTGAGGCAACAGTAATGTCACCAAATAACGCATCCACGTCGAGGGCATTCGGAGATGCCGAAGGCAGTTCGGGAGCTGCCGAAGGTGGTGCGGCAGCGGAAGCCTGGGAAGCAAGGTGGGTGAGGATATTGGCGAGGTTGTCTAGTTTCGCCTCAAGTGCGTCCATGCGCACGTCAGCGTCCCGGGGCAGCTCCGGTAGCATAGCGGGCGCAAAGACAACAAGAGCAGAGGAGGAGGGGTCAAGTGGCAGGGGCAGTGACGAGGGGGGTACGGACTCGTACTCCGAGCCTGAATCAGCGCCAAACCTGGCAATCTTGACCGGTTAATCCCATAGAGAGTTTCTTCTGCTGTAAGGGCAACCCTGGAGACTCCGACGAAAGCCTAGCAGGGGAGGATCCAAAGCGTGAATAAAAGCTACAGAAATACACGGAGGGACTGACCTAGCAGGGGAGGATCCAAAGAGAAGAACCTCTAAGGGTCCGCCTGCTAGGGCGCCAACTATATACTGGTCGTCCGTAACTGCCGACGTAGAGCGCAGAAGGCCTAAGCGGCATCGCAGGCTCTGTCCCAAGGTGATCGTTGGGAGGGTCTTGACGGATCGGTGATTGTGCGGGCGAAGGAGGCCGTGGACGATGGTCGGGGTGGGTCGGAGCGTCCGAGGGGGCGCCGGTCGGATGCGCCTCGGATGCGCTCGGAGGGTCCGAAGGAGGCCGAAGCGGGGGTTCCCCTGACACTTAGATTGTATCCTGTTCTTCCATTTGCACACAAGATTGCAAAGATAGATACAGTCATCCCTTGCACATCAGAACAAGATAATCTGGGTATTGGGAATAATGGACAGCTGCATGTTCATAAAGGCCAGCTTATCACCCTCTCAGTAATATCATATCACAGGTCAGAAATACTACAAAAAGTCATTATATTTCATATTATTCACATTTATCATCAGACACAAGAGTTTGTGGGGAGATGATGCAGAGCAGTTTAATCCTCAAAGATGGATTGGGGGACAGGTCCCCAAAACATCTGTTTCAGGACCATTTGGGCATCTGTCAGTGATTAAAAATAGTAAGAGATCATAAGCGACAGTTTACATCTCTCAGGCTTTCCTTCTCAACTGGTCCACATCATTGCTTAGGGTATAGTATTAGATCCTAGATATGGATTACTAACACTTATATGATTTTAGATGGCGATTTGCGTAAGTTAAACATCATTTTTTAATGTGAATAATGCCTAATCACTCTTATTTTATCAATAGCTTGCTTGAAATGCAGGTTATTCTATGTGAACTCATTATGAAGTTCCAGTTTTCAACTGCACAACACAATATTGTAACTCCAAAACTTGCAAATACCCTGATACCAACAGATGAGCAAGGAAATAAAGCAGTCATGCTGGCTGTAACCAAATTGATGTAGTTAATAAGTTATTATACCATTTTACTTTATTTATGTAGTACTCCTATTGAAATATACGATAGTGGCAATCCAATGTTTGAATAATTTATGATAGTTTTTAGTACTAGCTGTGCCTGACAGCTAATCGAGACTCCAAAAGCTTGATGAAAACAATCCGAGACTCATTCGAAACCGTGAGAAACCATTCATGATCAAAACTATTTGCGTTCAAGTTGTTCCGTATCAAAAACAAACAAAACCTCTCAACTCCGGGTCGAGGAACTCTGCTAAAGGTATCTACTCAAGGCCTTTTTATACTTACTGACGACTGCGGATCACGCTGAGTCACCCGTTCCTACCGCATCTCCCAGTTACCTAATTCAACCTCTGTGGTTGTCGACACGACCGTGTCGCTCTCCCGACGGTCGTGACTGCGCACATAGCCGTGTTACGATCAACCAGTCACGGATCGTCGCCTTAAGGACCGGGAGACCATTGAAATGGTCTCCGCACCTGTTTCTAGGGCCCCAGTACTACCCACTCTACTAGGTGCGCACTCTTCAACAGATCTATTATATAGTGATTCCAGAAAGCAATATATTACTATTACTATGGTAGAACTCAGTTTCAATAGTAATCACTTTGGAATCACTCTGCTGAACATAGTGTAGGACTGCTGATCAAGTTCATAGTAGGCACTAGCCTGCTTAATGCTTGGAGCAATGTCCCTGATTGTGTTTTGAGGGTCCCTCTAGGTCCACAGGGAATTAAAGAGGCTTGAAAGCAAGTTACCTCACAGTCTAGCAAATTTTCCAGTGGGAACTAAGTCAAATTTCTATGGAAATAAGCATACTAGATTATAGTTGAGTATATTCATAACATAATTATATTTTTCATCTGAACATGATTATACTATACTACAAATATATTATTATGTTGAGACTCTGAATAGGTTATGATCATAATATATTATCCCTCAAACATAATATAATTGTATTTGGCCAGCACTAGTTTGATTGAAATAAGTCAGGAACAAGGAAAAATAATAATTGTGTGTGATGCTTTACATTGGTACAAAAACATCTATTGTCTTGAAAATTACGTATACAGTGACTGTTGGTCAATGGTTCTAGCCGTTGCCTCAGCACACATGGTTTCCCTCACCGCAAAAAGTAGCTCACCAGTGATGGCACTGATTGACTGAGGGTGGGACAGGCGGTTGTCCGGGCGGCGGATCGAGCTCGATGGGCTCGCAGGGCACGGGAATGGCGACGACGGCCAGTGCAGCAGCAACGAGGAAGAGAAGTGTGGCTGGAAGTTTCATTGCTGACAGTGTTGTGACAATGGATGGGAGACAGTTTGTGTTGCGTCCTCGACTGCGTGCTCAGTTATATACCAAGACCAACTCGCCTGAATCAAACGGACGGTAACTTCCCATTGAACCTAGTCAATTCTAACACGGGAGTTACACTCTGCCGCAATATATCCAGGATATAAGTATCCCAACGCACACATGCATGCATCTATAATCCAAACACAGCAGACAGGTATCGACAATTGCAAATAAACAGGGCATAAGTGAGAGCCATCCGCTGGGCGACTGATATGATATCAGCCACGGGAGTTTCCCGATCGAAGGTAACGACGTACTCAAAAGACTGCGTTCATCTTGGGGTCCACATCCTCCGCTGCTGCGGGCACATCGAATTCACCGCGCCGCAGAGCTTCTACCGGACATGATCAGAAAGCATCGGAGGGAACGAGTGTCGTACTGTTTGGCGCTGCAAGCACACTGGCGACGATGGCCGTGAGGAGGACGACGGCGGGGAGGAAATTCATGGGCCTCGGGAATGGGAGTTGGTGAGAAAAGTGGATGGCGATGACGATATATATGAGGGGCGGAGAATTAGGTGCGTGCCTGTGCCTGCAGACATGCCGATAACGGCTATTTTCGTTGTGTGGGCGATAAGTAATCGGCGTAGAGTTAGACACTCAGCCAGCAGGTCGTGGTGGGAGTTCCTCTGTGAGAAGAAGGCTGATTCCGGGAAGAATCCGAAGCGCGACGAACAAGGGGTGCGGTGCGATGCGGAGATATGATGGCGAGCGTGGAGTCGTGATATTCAGGTGGGCGGGAGTAGTAGTAGCTATGAATATCTTTGTCGCAGCCTTAACACATGCCAGCCCAGACCCGGCGCACCAGCGAATCGAACTTCAGCGGTTGCTTAAGCAAGCAGAAACGCGAAGAATTAGCAGTGTACGCACTGGCCATACTGCGCGCGGCGCCACGTCATCGAACCGTCCCGTGAGCGCATCCTTTCTCCGTCACACGGACTGCATCCCGTGTGTGTTTGTGCCTTAGGGCCGCCGGTCCGGCGCGTCGGGCAAGTGACGACAAGCGGCGCTCTTCCCAGCGACACCACAAGACCCGGTTCGGGGGGGCTGTTTCGCCACAGTCAGCAACACAGAGGTAGCGCGTAGGTGCCAAGCCGGACGCCGAACAGCGTGAGGCTCGTCGTGAGCGCTATCGACACTATTGGCATTTGCGAAGAGATGAGCGTCAGAGGGTGAGATCAAGCTGTCACTTTTCTTTTTTGACAGCGTGTCACGCTGACAAATGCTCTTCCTCTCGGCGGTCATGATCACTCCGCCAACGCGGTCCTCCACCCTCGTCGCGCTCGGTTCAGGCTAGAAGCCTATAAGACGCAGTTTATTCCTGCTTTTTGTATGTCCCTCGTCATGAATCCCTGCTCCGAATTTTTGATACCATTCCAGTTTGGCCATGTGTGTGTTTTCGCCACTGTGGGTAAACTGTGGGGCTTCCCACGCGCCCGCGCGCGTACTGACGCACGTTTAGACCTACCGGCAACTCAGCGCTCACTCGCTTGATCATGCACCGGCGACTCAGAGCGCTCCGCGATCTTGCGATTGGGACCCTGAAATGGTGTCTCAGCTACGGTGACGTTGCGCGATGGAAACCATGGAAGGAGACCATGACGACGGCTGGCATTATCCTCCTCTGTCGCGGAGATAGAAGTGGAGAGCGCACTGGGGGACCTTTCTGCGACTATTTGGTGGATATAAGGGCGATAGCGGCTCGCAGAACCCAGAAATTTAAAGTGAGCATCGATTCGGTCCTTCTTCCAACCGATCATGAGAAAACTCACATTGCGGGGCCATGAAAGATCGGGAAGATATCATCGCGACGTTTCTCCGGGCCCACTGACGCCTTACTCGTTTCTGTGCGTCCTTTCCCATTGCTGAATGTAACGCACTGACCGCTCAGCCCAACAGGTCCAAGCGATCTTTCCCACCGAGACATCACATGCGGGCGTCCGTCTCTCTACTGACACTGGCCCCCGCCCCAGTGGTGCTTCCCTTGAGCATCGTGTATTTAAAGGCTCACCACTGTAGCGTCGGGCTTTCCTTCCTCCATGACGAGAGTCATCCCTCCCTCCGACTCGTCGAACCCGTTTGCCCCGCCGGGCCAGTCGGCCGCCGACCTCTGGCTCGAGCGCTCCAATCTTGACGGCTTCGTCCTCTCGGGCGTAGGCTACGGCATCCTCGCCACAATCGCCTTCAACACACTCGCATTGTTCGTCCGGCCTAAACCCGGCAGATCCCGCGAACGCGGCTTGATCATCTACGTCCTGCTGACCTTCGCGCTCGCAACGGTGGCGTTTGCAACCAACGCGAAATTCAATGAGATGCAATATGTTGACGATCGGGGGATCCCTGGTGGCCCGAACGCTTTCGGCGCGTTATATTATAACTCGTTTTATAATATGTTTGCGTTCATTGCGTGAGTTGGAGCATTCTTCCGACGACCGGACGAAACTTGATCGTGAAGCTGGATAGGTATATCTTGATGGGGTGGATGACCAATGGGCTGATGGTGTGTCTCCAAATATTCCACGAGATCGCTGACATTGAGTCCTCCGTGCTCAGCTCTGGCGGTTTTCCATCATCTGGGGGAACAGCCACTACCTCACGCTCCTGCCAGCACTGATGTTTCTCGGGCTCGTCACGTTCTCCGTGCTCCTCGTCGTCTCGCTCTTCCTCATTGCTTCGCCCTTCTGGGCCGACCTGAGCGAGCGATTCGGGATCTGCTATTGGTCGCTCTCGATCGCGCTCAACATGACCGTCACATGTGGCATTATCTGGCGGATCTGCGAGCGGGCCGGAGAATACAAGTGGCCATGGGCGAGGAGCATGCCTATGCGCGGCGCTACGTTGGCATCGCGGCGATGCTCATCGAGTCCGCCGCACTGTACGCCATCTGGAGCTTGATGTTCTTGATATGCTATGCCCGGAACACCCCGCTGCAGAACATACTGCTGTCTTCGCTGGGGCAGGTTCAGGCGCGTTTGCAAACCTTTATTCAACTGATTCTCTCTCATAACCCCGAACAGGGAATTGCGCCACTCCTCATCCTGTTCCGCGTCGCCCAGGGCAGCGCGTGGACACAGGACACAGGGAATGTCAACGCGAGCAGTGGCCCACTGACTTTCCATCAGTCGCCGAACATCAACGTCTCTGGCATCGGCACGCGCTCCGCCCGGTCGTTCCAGCTCGGCAATCTGTCGCATGCCGCGGCGGCATCGTCCGCTGAGCGGGGCGACTGCGAGTCGATGTACTGCGGGCGGCCGTCATTCACACTGGACGACAGCCATGAGCATCATGATGGGGACAAGATGGGCTCTGTGTATGGGCCGGCGACGATTGAACAAGCGGAATCGGAGAGGACTTGTTATAATAGATAGGCGTACTGTATACTAGCATAGCAAGATTTCGAACATGTAACCATACCCACAATGAAAGTTACCCTGTTGCTCTCAGGCATTCGAGTGGACTTGAAGCATGTGTCTCGGCCCGAGTCATGATTTTCGGCTCCGTTTGATGGGTTGCCCGTGTTGAACAGAGCTTAGCTTAGGCAGAGATGGTCGATCACGTCGGGACTCCTGGATCAAATGACGGTGGCGAATGACGGTGGCGGCCTCAGTTGCCTGATGGAAAATCTGATTGTGCTCGGGAGCGAGCTCATCGGAAAAGCCGTCGACGGGAGGCTGAAAGTTTGCAGTAGTTATGGGAATTGCCCACCGCATTTCGTCCGCGTTGGGCTGTGTTTGTTCGGCAAACGCGGAGCGCGAGAATGCGATCTGTCTCACTGCTGTGATGGAGAATCCTAAGAACTTCAACGGCGTTTGATGATCAGGTACTGTCGCCGCAGTAGGCCCGATGTGGCGGGCATCCATTTCAGTCTCTGCCTGAGTGTGGGTAGCGCTCGGGATGGTCGTTAAACCGGTCAGATTTGGATCCGGAGGCATAAATGGGATATATTTTGGCTTTTTTGCCTGTGTAGCATTCAATGGATTTTGCGACATGTTTCATTTTCGGTCTTGTCGCTCGGAAACAGCCTTAGTTGGTTGTTCTGAAACAGAGCCTACTAGTACCTTTGAGTCTCTGACTCAAGTCGTCGAAGTATTGTTCCCGGGCCATGAACAAGTCACTCATCGGATTGCTGTATCCATTGCCAGTGCAATGACTCTCATTGTATTATGACTGCGCCCTCGGAGTCACCTCGCCTGGGCTACAAAAAGGAACATATGTGTTGAGGTGGCAGGCACACCCTTCCCATTCCCCCATGAATTTTTTCACTATCATCATTGCTTCTTTCTCTGTATTGCTCCTGGCAGCAGCCCAACCATTGCCCGTGACTCCAGGTAAGAGGACAGACTTCCTCTTAATCTATAATGTGCTAATATTTGAACCAGAAGTAGAAGAACCGGCAACTCTCTCTGAGCCTCCTCTACCCATCTCTCCTCCTGGTATGTACCATATTTGTTTCCAGAGGAGAAGGTATTGATATCTTCAACAGACCTTGATCTACCCAAAGCTATGAAGACAGCAACAATAACACCCTTGCTATCCTTCAGAGAAATAACTGATACAGGGTCATGATTTGAAATATCTATTTCTCAAGTTATTGCTATCTACATTACATAACTTGCTGTACAAGTTATTTTCTTAATGTAAATTAAATTCATGATAATTTTATTTATATTCAAGTTTTGTCAGGTTAGCCCCAAACAATTAGAATCTATCATCCTTTGAGAAGTGTCAAACTTACATCCTTAATATAGATCAGGAAGCATATAAAATAATTCATTACATATTGAATAATATGAGATACACTATCTATAAAGTTCTCTATCAAAACTTGAGCCACTACTTGGTTTAACATCATGATGAACAAGTATTAACATCTGGAATGCTAACAAGCCCATGGACATAATCATGTAATTTTTCCCTCTTCTTTTCATGTCAGACACAGAAGACTCAAATTTAATGACCATTGGCAGGCTGGCAGCTCATTGTAACAAATATTCTCCCAGTCATACACCGGCTATACTGCTGGCCTGGTGGTTGGCAGTCAATGCCAGCTTTAACATCATAACATGCATGTCATTGCATGAGCAAAGTTAGATATAAAGTAGCTAGGTCACATCATTAATGATATCTGACTATAAGTTCTCTATGATTAGTTATACGAGCTGATACGATCCCGAGTGGGAATGATGGAATGTTCCATGCTTCTGCGCGGCGAAGGTCAAATACCGCGTCCGACGCGCATGGGGTTCCTGCTGCCTGCCAGTGTCCGTCCCCCTGCGTACATGTCCGCGAGCGCGAGCGTGAGCAGCAACGCGCCGCCGGGCGAGGGCCCCGGGGATCTGTGGCTCGAGAAGACCTATCTGGACGGGTTCGTCCTGGCGGCTGTCGGATACGGTTAGTCGTCCGCCAAACAACTAGAGTACCAAAGCTAACGTGCCTCAGGCGTCCTCTTCACCCTGACATGGCAGACGCTCGCCGCCTTCCTCCGCGGCCCGCGCACACGCATGCACCGTGTTTTCATGGCCTACGTCGCGGTCATGTTCGGACTGAACACGATTGGCTTTGGGGCCGCGGCTAAGATAAACGAGATGGCGTTCATTGAGGACCGCGGCATCCCGGGCGGGCCGAGCGCATTCGAGGGCGTGTCGTTTGCCTCGCCGACGAATATGACGAGCTTTATTGCGTGAGTGAAGCACATCGGGGAAGAGAATGCGGCACTCACGGCAATATGCAGACTTGTCGTGATGAGCTGGATGGCCGATGGGCTTGTGGTGCGTTGAAAGCAGAAGAAGTCGTTTGATACTGACTGCGCCTAGCTCTGGCGGTTCTGGATCTTCTGGGGGCGCAGCTACCGGCTAGCGGCGTTCCCCGCGCTGATGCTGGCCGGCTGCATTGGTGTGTCAAGTCGCACGAATTGCAATGGGACTGACCTACTGCTTAGCCTGCTCCCTCGCCCTTATCGTGACGAGCTTCAAGGCCGCCGACTCCTTCTGGGCATCCCGCTCCGTGCAGTTCGGCCTCGCCTACTGGTCGCTGTCCGTCGCGCTGAACGTCCTCCTCACGCTCTGCATTGCGCTCCGCATCCTACTTCTCCGCCGGCAGGTGAAAGATTCGCTCGGGAGCGAGCACACGCGGAAATATTTCTCCGTCGTGGCTGTGCTCGTCGAGTCCGCGGCGCTGTACTCGGGCTGCGGGCTGGCGTTCATCGTGTGCTACGCGCGGAATAGTCCCGTGCTGAACTTGTTGCTGCCGCTGCTGGGAGAAGTGCAGGTAAGTATGTGAAATGACGCATTATGGAGGCTCACTATAGGGGCAGGGTATCGCGCCGCTGTTGATCCTGGTGCGAGTAGCGCAAGGCTGCGCGTGGTCTCCGTCCACGGGGCACGCCACGCTGTCAATTGCAGGTCAAAGCATCCCGCTCAGCTTCGCGTCGGGGACAACGTCCACTGCGGCGCCAAGAGGAGTTAGGATTGACATCACACAGGAGCGGAATGCGTCCTGGGGGGAGATTGAGAGCCCCGCAAGCGCATCGTCGATGAAGAAAGAGGAGATGGTTTGAGGGCTTTAAAAACATCTTTAGGACATTAATAGTTGAACGAACTGTAAGATAAGTAAGGAGGTATACCACGCAGATAAGCCCATCGGCCCCGGCCCGGGATCCACCAGCCATCGGCAGTGGCTTCGTTCATCCTTCGGACATGAGTTCGGACATGGGCGTTGCGGAAGAGAATCGGTGATCTGTATCACGCAATGACGTGTCGCACGTGATTCTCCATCAACTTGTCAACAACGTCCTTCCGTACTCATGGCTAGCGCATAGGTGTGTGCTTCGCCTTTGCCCTCAGTCTAGTAACTTATAACACTCCGCCGGATTGACTGAGGCTCAAGCTCAGACTCGGAGCTTGGGTAAGCTTTGACGCTACAAGTACGTCCGTCGAGGCATCAGCAGTGCCCCAGGCTGTCAAGCGGCGCTTCTCTTCTATTCCCGCCACCCGTGTCTATCGCTCTCCTCTTTCCATGGCCACCCACTCCGCCTCGACGCCGCTGCTGACCAACTTCGAGCTCGACGATGCGGAGGACTACAACCACAGGCCGCCCCGGCCAACGCCGACCGACCGCCGCACCTTTCTCCTCCTCATATTCGCTTGTTTCGTCTCGGTCCTCTCTATTCTCCTCAACTTTCTCCATTTCTCTGCCGCCTCAGCGCCCCGCGGACAATCCCCGCTCAAACTCGTCTACCCCAATCCGTACATCGGCCTTGACAGCGCGGTCCTCCCTTCCGGCCTCCCGCCGGCAAAGCCGATCCTCAACTGGCCGCTGCTTATCGCGCAGGTCAATCGCTCCGATCCACACACGGTCTACCTGCAGAACCCAAAGTGGGACTCGAGCTTCGGGATGATATACGACGAGCAGCGTGAATTCGAGGTGTCTACAGACGTGCGTCAGCCTATTCCTTGCCTCTCCGTGGTATTTATCGAGACTTTTATGCAGGTATCGACCATCCTCCAATTCCGGACACTCGACTTTGGGATGACACGCTGCGTGCTGACACTGGAGATCCCCTCGGCAGCCAACGCAGACGCCAACGACTTGCCCCGCAAAAACGTCCTCATAGCGCCGCAGTCAGTCATGCTGACCGTCAATACCCTCGCGACAGACGCCTCGCTCCCGCCCGAAACGCTCTCCTGGGCCACAGCATCCCGGCTGCACCGCATTAAACGCCTTACTTCGTTCGGGATAGCCTCATTGGCGGCGCGGGAGGGCGTCGTCCTGCAGAGCGCGCCGTTCGTCTGTGCGGAGCGGTCGCTGCTCACGGTGGAGGTGACGTTGGATGGGAAAGATGGACAGGTGAAGTTTACGCAGGACCACAAGCTCCCGAGACTGGGTAGGCCGTTTTTGGTGTCCTGTTAACTAGACTGAGCACTCACACAGGGTTCTATCTCATGCAACATCCCGCGGAATCATGATTGCGATAATAGTGCATTCAGTCGTATAATTAAAGACGCGCATATCAGCACCTCGCTACTTGAAGAATGATATCAACGAGCGCGGGAGGCTTCCATCCCGTCCCCGATCGTGACCCAAGACCTGACAGCGTTCATTTTGGGATCCGCTACTGGCCGATTGATGTCAGCTGGGGTGTAGGCTTTATTGATGCATGTATAGCGCTCAGTGAATGGCAGATTCGGGCTTCTTAGCCATGAAACGTGGTACCAAAGAGTGGCAATGGTTATAGATATGGCGCTGTGATATCGGAGCCCGGCGTCTCTGTGCCTGGAAGAAGGCAACGGGCTATTCCCATCCATCGGCGATAACGAAGTGAGATTCCACGCCTGTGTGTAGCCTTGGAGCCGATCTATTGATTTCATTCTCAACCCGAGTTTGGGCGAGAAGCGGGGGAGCTAGCTGCATCATCGCGTGTGGGAGGAGTTGGTGTGGGGAGTCGTTGCCATGAATGCGGCAAAGTTGTCCGCCGCTGCGTCAAAGAAGGCGCTCCAGTCAGCGCAGACGTGTGTGGACCCGATGCGGTCTTGCTCGAAGTCACGAGTGAGCACGTCAGCCGGCTCGAGCGTCAGGTCTGGCGCGCAGAGAATCGATCTTTGATTATGTGAGCAAAAGTCAGAGAAAGGAAAAGGAGGGCGCACTGTCGGATGTAGTTCAGACAGTGGTGCATGTGCCCGCGGGACATGGCGTCGTAGCGCCCCTCCAGCGCGGCCCGCATTAGCCGGACACAGTGCATCTCGTGGAACATCGTCACCGCAAATGCGCGTTTCTCCTCTCCCAGTCTGACATAGCCGAAGCCGTCGCTGGTGGAGGTGGCCCAGCGCTCGAGCGCGTCGGGGCCATGGATCGGGTAGGCGCGGCTCTCTTGGACGAGCATCGCGACAGGCTCGCGGCTGGGTGTCTCCCACAGCTCGGGGAAGTCGGACCCGAGGTAGGTGTAGTCTCGGGGGCTTGGGATGCTGGAAGGAAAGAAGAAGCGCGAGAAGGATATGTAGACGCTCAGCAGCGCAAGGGCCATCGTCAGGAGCGTTAATGCCGACACCGATGGGCGGCCCATGATGGCGAGAATCAGGTTTTCTGACAGCGTCACGATCGGTGTCACGCGATTCCACTTTTGCTCCCGACCACCACATGCACCTCCGCGGCGCCAGCGCGGTCCTGTGTCTAGCGCTCTTCGGCAGCGCGTTGGCCAGAGACCCTCACTTAGTCTCAGTATCTACCCGTCAGTGGCCCGCCGCTGCTTTCTTTCGCTTCTGACCTGGACCGACAGCCGCGCCAGGCGTCTCGCCCGTCTGGGACCTCCCGCTCGGCCCGGTCCTCATGGACGTGCACAACACCGACAAGTACGCCCTCAACGGCTCTCTCGCCGACGCACAGTGGGCCGCGCTGACTGGCAGCCCCGACAACGACGTTATCCACCTCGGGGAGAAGGAATACATGCTCTCGATGACGCACCAGCTGCGCTGCCTCGACATCATCCGGCGGGACTACGTTGCTGGCTGGCAGGGCCGGCGGACGACACATGTGGCGGCGCAGACGCAGCACTGTCTGAACTATATCCGCCAGATGGTGCTGTGTCGCGGGGATAGAAGGTTGGAGGAGGTGGTGGACCCGTTTGGCGAGCATGCGGTGGAGGTGCGCGGGTCGAGGACGTGTAGAGATTGGACGGCGGTGTTTGAAAGTATCAAGACGGTCCAAGGTGCGTTGTTGCTGCAATCCAGATTGTCAATTTTCTCATTTTGACTAGAACATCGATCGTAGGCTACTTATTGGGGCAGTGCCAGAGATCGTTATTTCACGCATTTTTTATGTCTGCTGCTCGTCTATGAATGCATCGACTTCTTTGCGGCTTTGCCTGGCAATGCTTGCCACGGCCTCACCTCATCGCCACTTCGCTTCGATTATTTCCATCCGTCAATTCGTTATGGCCTGGCAGCGACTGGTGGTACAACGGATGTTTCTTCTCCCTTCCAACTATGTTGATCATCTCCTCGCATCTCCAGATCATACGGGTTGCTGACACAGGGATTGAATCCACTTGCTAGCAATCAACAGCTCCCGCGCCTCGCTTTCCGCCGCTTATCTTCCATATGAATTCAACTTCGATTGGATGTCGACCCACTGGCCGACGCCGGGATGGAAGGCCCAGTGATTGTGGGAAGGGGTATACTGTCAGAATAATGACTTTCCAGTGTGCTCATCTATGTAGATATTTATAGAGGCGAGGACTCAAGTCAAGCGTGTCTTAATGTCATGCTTCCATGTGCTATGGTGAGTCTTCCTGCTCACCGTGCTCGGTCTTCCTGGACTTCTGCGGATACAATCTCGCCCGGGAATGATACGACTACGTATAAGAGACGGCTCACGCGGGCTTGACATGGTTGCTTTTGCGCCAAGAACACACCGAACGATAGCTGCATCTCGACATGATAAAGCTCGTCGTCGTCGTCGTCTTCTTTGCAAGCATATTGACGGGGGCGTTGACTTTCCCCATTGCAAACAATCACCGTGACGGTAATGCTCTGCGCGCTAATGTCCAGCTTGAAGCTTACTATGTATAGTTTCAGGGGTCCGAGTAACCAAGTTCATGCATTCATGTAAGTGTAGGCTGCACTACCCATTCAGTGCTGAGGATGCCAGGTAATGCGATTGACGCACCGCATACCGCTACTGCCGGTGCGACGAGTAGTACTATATGCCAATGTTGTGCTCCCTTCTAGATATCTCACTTGCAGATAATGTGGAAAAGTTGAAATAGTAGTCTTGAGAACCTGTGAGGCTGTGATGACTTTCACAGTTTCAATGACCACAAGTATTACAGGCGGCGCAAAAAGCAAGCAAAATATTGGGATGCTAGTTGCGGAGGATCGCAATTCAATTGGAAAGAAATTATTTCTCCATCGATGCCCGTAGCACCAGCGGCCTTGAGCGTAAGATCAACGCCATTGCCAAGAATCAATCGGCAAATTTTTTGACACCGTGTCACGCCATCACGGCGGTCACGCATTCCCCGGAACTTTTCCCCGACACCCTCAATTGCCCTCGGCTCCTCTCCAGTTCCTGCGTAGACGGCCGTAGCGGAAGGTGCGGCGTACGGTCATATCCTAGCGACGGCTCAAACACCCCCCCTCCAGCCAGCGTGAAAGAGGAGATGACCAGCCTCAGTTACTTGTAGTCGCGCAGCAGCAATGCAGGCAAGTCAAAGATCACTTAAATCTTCTTTTAAGCTCTATTCAGTATCCAAACAGATACCTCCGCCCCTGTGAGGCCCGTCAATACATGGCCGCAGTCCTTCACCGACACCCGCACTACGCTGGCTTCTCCTTTCGCCTTTGGCACGAGCGCAAACCCGAGCCTCTCGTATATGGGTACCTAGTGCGTGTCAAATAGGTCATGCAAAGGATAATGAGTCTCACATTTCCCTCTACAGTTGTCTCCACGCAGATCAATGTTCCTTCAAGACGGGCCTTTTGGATGACGGGCTCGAGGAGCGCACGAGCGATTCCGCGACGGTGATATTTGGGGTCGACCGCCAGCGTTTGAAGGGTCCAGGAGGCATGGGATACACCAGGTCCCAGCGTAGTCTCGGAAAAGCTTTCCCATTGGGGTAGAAACTGGACGCAGGTGAGTGCTACCCCGCCGAACCGTCACCCTGCTCACTACGTCTGTCCACCAGGCTTGTAGCTCTGCGCTCATGCTCGCCATGAACGGCAGCAGTGCGTATTGCTGCTCTTGCTCGCTTCCGCTTGCGTCAGCCGCACGCACAACGGGGGCAAACCGGCGTTTCTACCTTTCAAACATGGAGACACCTGGCCCAAACCAACCTGCAATCCCGACAACCTTCGTTTTCCCCTCTTCAACTGCTTCCGCCACGTATATCTCACCAGCCAGGGCCTCCGCTACGACTGGTGCCATTAAAAATGGCTCGTAGTAGCTTCGGTCTGGGTCGTCGACATCCCGGCCATTAACCGCGGCAGTGAACAAATCTACTTGGTGAATGAATCGAGGAACGAAGCCAGTCTTTTAGGGACGCACCACCGTCGAATGCCCGACTTAGCACTGAGAGGATGTCGGAGTATGCAGGCAGCGTCGCCGCTGGGTTGGCCGCGTCAAAAATAGGCTCCAACTTCCGGATCGAGAACATGGATGAGGAATTGGGAGATGGGGGGCGCTCCAGATGGTCAGCTCTATATGTCCCACCGCAACGGAACGGCTGACAGATAGATTTACAGGGAATCAGGTATGCTTCTTCCGGCCAGTGTCTGTTGGTTGATATTCGCAAAATGTGTGGCGAAATTCTGATGTTGCCAGAACCCCGCTCGATCGTCAAATTTCAAGTGAGTTGCTTTCGATTTCGTAACCCACACCACTCATACCCATTTTAGAAATAAATTATACATCCGATGTATACGGGAAGGAGTCGGTGTGCTTATCCGTCACAATATGCACGCCTTTGACGGTGTCGGGCGCTCCTTGCCGCGAGGCCAAACTACCCAGCCCGATGTTGGTCGTACTTGCGCCATTTGCACCATTGATACTCAGTGCAGTCGTAGCCTGGATCGTGCTCTGTGACCAGGCCCGGCCTTGCGCGACACGCGAAAGGATAAGCATCGGCGCTATCCCCTGTGAAAGGTAAGTATGACTCAATGATCGGGGAGCATTCTTACTTGAACTTGGCCCAGCACAGGAAAGACCAGGTTTTGCACCGAACTACTGCGCGCGTAGGTGACAATGAAGATGAGCCCGACGACAGCATAGAGCGAGGCGGACTCGATGATCATTGCAGCGGCCGAGAAGTACTTCTGCGCATGCTGCGACCCGAGCGTGCGCTTCACCCGCTTGCGGATGACGAGGATTCTCCCGGCGATGAGTAGCGTCAGGAGGATGTTGAGCGAAATGGAGAGGGACCAGTATGCCGTGCCAAATTGAACCGAGCGGGCGGCCCAAAAGGAGTTTTCGAGTTGGAAACTCGTAACGATGAGCGCCAGGGACGTGGCTGGTGCATTCTTTCCGTGAGTCTAGTTTAAAGAACTAGTTCAAAGACTCACCGATTGAGCCCAACAGCATCATAGCCGGGAAGATGGTATAGACGTAGTTGGAGCCCCAGACGAGCCAGAAGCGCCACAACTCGGGGGACGCGTTTAGTTTCTGAAAGCTGTTGATGGGAGAAAGCTCACCACCAGGCCGTCGGCAATCCAACTCAACGTCACGTATCTAGGCGTTCTCAGCAAAATAATACTTAGGCGAAGGGAAAGCGCACGCGACGACGCCCATCATGTTCACCGGCGATGCGAATGAGATGATTTCGAAGCCACTAGGTCCCCCGGGTGCGTTGCGGTCCTGGACAAAGGACCGTTCGTTGATCTTCGTCGCGCTCCCAAAGCCGATGGTGGCCAAGGCAAAGATCATCGCGGCGTACCCGACCAGGCCCCACGGCCGACTCTTCTGTGGCAGACTGAAGAACGCGTGCATGGTCTGCCAGGTCAACGCGAGGAGGACACCTGGACAACGATGGTCATTCAGAAAAGAAATACCGACAAAGGCCACACACCGTATCCAACAGCCGCGAGCGCATAGCCGTCGAGGAAGGACTTCTCGATCCACAAATCGAAGGCAGTCTCGCCCTCTGGTGCGAATGACGTGACGTTTGTGGTGGGATCCATGGAACAGCTGGGGTAAGTATAGCGCACCTGCTCTTTAATAACGTATTGACGCACTTCGGCGCAGGTCGTAGGTCTGTCGGCCCCTGCCCGAACTTCTGCCGGACCAATCTCGCGAATCGCACGCGGATCAGATTGTCGCCCTTTCGTAGATCCTCGCTGGATTCCTGCCGCTTCTCTCTTCTCACGTGTTGAATTGCATCAATACCATTGATGTCTCGTCGTCACCTTCCATGGCATGCCAGTGGCTGAGCCCGAGATCGAAGGCGGACGAGTCAATGAGCTTTTGTTCCATTGCCTTATCGTCGACTGCGATAGATGCGTAGGCCTGGTCCGCACACGCATGGAATGGTATTTCGAGCTTCGTTCGTGCGAGGAAGAACACCAACTCCATCAAGCACCGATGAGCAGTCGAACCCTCGAAACTCGTTTGGCCCGACCCCCTTTGAATGTGGATATCGCTCCATGTGGGCCCCATCATATGAAACATGCCTTCCAGCCGTGAGAAGACTTGGTTTCGATTTTTTTTTTTTCGAAGCGCAAGTACATTGCAGCAATTCGCAGCACAATGGCAGCCTTCGGACTCTCGTTTGGTAGCTTTTCACATTCCGGTCGGTTCAAGCTTAATCAAGCTTAAGCTTTGCTTGTAGCTCACTGATTCCTTCGCCTAGTACTTTTTGTGTCTTAAAACAGGGTGTCCGAGTCGCCGGCCGGATGTTTCCGAAGATATACAAATTTGGTTTTTCATGTCCGAGTCTCCCTACACTGTGACTGTCGAATCGATGATCACGCGGATGATATAGGGTTCGTTGGTTCCGAATGATTATCGACCGTCAATATGAATGCTACTTTAGAAGCCTGAGCAGATCAAGCCGAGCGGTATAAGAGAGGTCCCAGTTTCCGTGCTTTGCTTCAGTTTCACAACGCCCTCCGCAAGCCCATGGCCAAGTTCATCCTCACTACTTATCTTGCTCTCGTCTTTGCGAGTGCCTTTGCGGGAGCCTTGTCTTTGCCAAATGACGGTAAGTATTCACTGTCATATACTAGTATATGTTTTCTGGTAGACTGATGTCATTCTAGTGACCATTAATATCAGAGAGTCGAATGTCAAGCGCCAATGTGAGTAGCCAGCCCCCTTCAAAATCATTGTCGAACATGCCTTTCTTTCAGGTGGCAACTTTGACACCCCTGACAGGGTGAAGGCACAGCTGTGCGATCCACCATTTTAAACATGGTTGCAACTTGGAATTGGAATGTAAATACTATGCTCACACCATTCAAAGTTGGTAGAATGCTTTGTGTCTCAGGCTCTTGTTATATGTATTGCAAATTGCAAAGCCTTCTGATTTGTGTTATACTGGTGCCCGCTGAGAGCAAGGGGAAGAGAGAGGGGGGGTTCAAACTTCTTCAAGACCCTCTGACTAGCGGGTTTACACCTTTGCCTTTGTTTCCTTAGACTTTGTTGTGACCCTCATCTCACTGACACACTCACAAGTTGTGACTTGTGAGTGAGTGTGTCAGTGAGATGAGGGTCCTATGTAGCAGGGAGGATTCAAAGTGGTGCTGGGCAAATATAGATACAATACTGTAGCATTTAGTCAGTCTGTATGTGTATGTCACGTGTCACGCCGTTCTCAAAATCCTCTCCCAAAAGGGCAATTTTGACATTTCCGGGCGCCTCTGCCGCCAAGAACTTCCTAATCAGGAAATAATTTGAATTGATATTTTTGTCTTAGATGTTATACTACTTTTGGTATTTGAATTGAATAAAATGTGACAGTATATCATTTGCTATATCATATTATATTCCTATCATATCTTGACTCTGAGGCTTGAGCCATGTCATACTGTACTATTTCAATCAATTAGTCATGTCACGGTCACATTGACTTTTTTTGGCCGAAAATTTTCTGCCTGTCACAGGTCACAGTGAATTTCTTTGGTCCCAAACCGTCCCAAAATGGTAATTTTCAAAAAGGTTCCGCGCCTACGGCGCGCAGAACTTCCATATAAGGCAGGAGGTCACACTAAATTCAGCCCTTGGCTGAATTGCACATTTCTGCCACATGTGTCACAGGTCACAGGCCTGCAGAATTGAATGAAATAGTACAGTATTTGTATCATACTATATCTGTATTGGTCAATATACTCACCCATTCAATCAATTCAGCAGGCCTGTGACCTGTGAAATATTCTATTGCGGAATTTTGTGTGACCTGTTACCTGATTAGGGCATTCAGTGTGCCTGCGCAGGCATGGAAAAATTGAAATTCCGCCCAATTGGAGTCCGCGGACTTCCACCCAAAAGACACTCGTGATCTTTCACCTTTCTGCATTTTGTCAGTCAACCAGTAACAATTAGGCTTAGGTCAAAACTGAAGCTAGTGTTCAAATAGTAATATCTATCACCTCACAAAGTGGGCAGTTATTCTACCGGCCCTAAAGTCCTGGCAGTTAAAGTTATCATAATAAAGTCAGTCAGTCAGTCTTGCAGCAGTCTTATATATTATATATACTAAGTCATTTATAAGGACAGCCCTAAAGTCTATATTATTTTATACTAAGTCATTTATGGAGCCGGCCCTAAAGTGTGGGAAAAAAAGAAAAAAATCACCTGTTTGTCCCAAAAATGACTGTGAATTCACAGTGTTGACCCGGCGGGGCAACACTGTGTAGCAACACAAATTTGCAAGGTTCTTATAGAAATGAATAATCCATGGATAAAGGAATGAATAATTGTAAGTTTTTGAAGTTTCTAAGGCAATTTTTGACCAAGTCCAATACATTGTAGGTTTATCAGTGGTCTATATGGTATGAATAATTTGAATAATATCCTTGAAGTCTATATGCTAATAAGATAGTCAGCAGAGAATGAATAATAATGAATAATTAAAAACCTGAGAGACTTGGCCTGAGTTCAGTGCTGTTACACCGTGTCATGGGCGTGACAAACTTCCGGAAAAGGAAATTTTCGCTATTTAACAGTACAATCATCAGGGAATGTCACAGATCGTCACAAATCAAAGTTGTATATTTTGCATATACAAACAACTTTCATTAAGTCACCTACACCGCCAGTTGAATAGTTATGCCAGCACTAGTCAATTACTAGCTAAGCTACAACTGATGAGCCTCTATCTCCATAACTACTTGAGGTAAACACATGATTCAAGTACTACCAGGAAGTTTTTGACCAGTACCATCAATTGACCATAGTCTTTGATTACTATCATACCATATGATGACTGTATTTAGTTCTCAGTCATAACAATAGGAATATCTGGTACTTAAACTAATGTGTGGTAGGTGACTCATATGTTCACATACTTCACACCAGGGCTTTGGTATTTCAGCTTCAGATCCTGAGTGAATGTGATACCAGTAATGCAATGTATCCACACATCAGTAGTATTTGATCTTCATCAACCCTGCAAGATATCCATGGATCTCTAGCTAGTTAGGCAGATAAAGTTGGGAGAGTGCTCATTTGAAGGGTATAGCACCCTAACATTATCTTTTTCATCTAGTCATCTCATTTGGTGCCATGACATCAACCTATTGACTGCCAAGTATGATTCAATACTGAGCTAGGGAGTATTTTGCTGATATCTTGGGACTACATCCATGGAATCCCATGATCTAAGTTGATATAGTGACATATGATGGTCCACTATAATCCCACCCATTTGTGATTATACCACAAGTGTTAGAGCAAGTCAATTCCTGGAGGCCTTAGGTGTCATATAACACAGGATGAAGGTGGTCTACAGAGGCAGGGGCACCACTTTCTGGGAGCTGGATCATGCCCCTACTCGTAGATATACTTAGATTTCTCAGACTCATAAAGGCCATGCCATAGCCAACCTATCATCTTTGGAATAGATAACACTGATAATGGTACTGTGAGGGATCCAGAATGGCTATGAGGTTGATTCAAGTGCTGGACAGGTTCATTTGGAGGTCTTTAGTACATATTCAAATACCCCCATACATGCATCTCAATGTCCAGTACTCAGTCTATAGACCCTACTATTCATGTAAACCAGTTCTGCACTCAACCTGTCTTGGAATGTTCACCTCAATTCATCCTCTAACAATATATAGAGACCAATCAGAGTACATAGGTCTCTTTATATACCTCATTAACTGAACTTAACACATTTTGATCTATAATCAACTAACAGATCATGGTTGTATTATGAATATCTTGTGTAATAGGAGCATTGTGTATAATACCAAATAACATGGATGGTAAATTATGAGAGGCATGTCATATTTCAGAGGGACCCCTCTGTATGCTTCCTACCTTTATCTCATTGGGAATCCCTTATGTCCAAGTGAGTTATTGGGAGATTAGAATAACAGGATATATCCCTTATATGCAGGTATATAGGTTGCCTAAAAATAGGTGTGTCTTACAGGGCTATGATGGACATCTATCCGCCTAGAACACAACTTAGATCATCAATATCCATGCATTCCTGACCCAAATATCAGGCCATCACTGTGCTTGATTAAATTTGAAGTAGAAAAACTACAGAAAAGTGGTATAACAGTATGGTATAAAGATATGAGACTATACTCATATCAGAACACATCAAGAGAATATAACTACCTATGTACTAGTGAAAAAATTATCTGAATTTAGAAAGAATTAGAGGATATATTGCTGAATCAATGAGTCTGAGGCATAATCATTTAATTGTTTGATATACAGATAACATTAGATTGATGTGAATATTGACCCAATCGTTCAGGTATCCTTAGTAGTACTTCAATTAGCTCTGTAACCTATCTAGTTATTGAGATATCATCTCATCAGTTATGGATCAGCTAGTGGTTGGCTAGTGCTGGCACAACTATTGAGCTGTTACTACAGATCACTCAATGAAAGTTGTTTATACAGCCAAAATATACAACTTTGATTTTGTGACAATCTGTGACATTTTCTAATGATTATAGTGTTAAATGGCGAAAATTTCCTTTTGGGGAAATTTGTCACGCCCGTGACATGGTGTGACGGCGCTGAACTCAGGCCTAAAGTCTCAGGTCTTGAATTATTCATTATTATTCATTCTCTGCTGACTATCTTATTAGCATATAGACTTTATCAATATTATTCAAATTATTCATACCATATAGACCACTGACAAGCTACAATGTATTGGACTTAGTCAAAAATCGCCTTAGAAACTTCAAAAACTTACAATTATTCATTCCTTTATCCATAGATTATTCATTTCTATGAGAACCATGCAAATTTGTGTTGCTTCACAGTGTTACCACGCCGGGTCAACACTGTGAATTCACAGTCATTTTTGGGACAAACAGGTGGCAAAAATGGGGTGACACTTGACACAAAAATTTTAGACTTGAATTATTTCCTGATTAGGCAATTCTTAGTGCTAGAGGTATCCTGGAAATGTCAGAAATTGCCTTTTGGGGCAAGCATGCCAATGAGGACAATGAATTGTGTGAGCTGCACTTTGCAGCTGATGAAATGATTACAAGATTACAACAGGATTTGTTGAGATAGTACATGGGAAATGATTAGAAATTTTGAATCCTCTGTGTCTGATCTGACAAAATATTTTAAAAAAGCTTTAAGTTAAATTAAGATGTGTTCCTTGCACAACAAGTTATGTAATGTAGATAGCAATAACTTAAGGAATGAATATTATGTCCCTTTATCCATCACTTTAAGTTCTCTGAAGGACAGGAAAGAATTTATTGTTGCTGTCTTCATAGCTTCAGGAAGATCAAGATCTGTGGAAGATATCAATACTCTCTCCTATGAAAACCAATATGGTACATACTAGGAGGAGAGACCGGTGGAGGAGGCTTAGAGAGGGTTGCCAGTTCTCCTACGTCAGGTTCTAGACTAGCTAGTTCAGATATTAGCAAATTATAGAGTTAAGAGGAGGTTGGTTCTCTTACTTGGAATCACTGGCAATGGTTGGGCTGCTGCCAGGAGCAGTAGAGAGGAAAGGGCAATAATGATAATGAAGAAATTCATGGGGAACAAGGAAGGTATGCCCACCTCAACCAACATATTGCTTTTTGTAGCCCAGGCAAGGTGACTCCGAGGCCGCAGTCATTATACAATGGGAGTCATTCATTGCATCGGCAATGGATACAGCAATGCGATGAGTTAGTCGTCCATGGAACAATATTTCAACGGCTTGAGTCAAAGGTCTCTGTTTCAGCACAACCAACTAAAGCTGTTTCCGGTACCGACGCGGTCACTCGGAGCGACAGGAGTCCAGTTGGACTTTGGAAATGCTACGATGCTATATTGCTACCCAGGAGCGGCAGGTGCGGGTGCTGCGGGTGGTCTCAGTCGCGGGGTGCCAGTGTAGTTTCAGTTTAGTTGTATTAGTCAGCCCTATGACATCATCCTGGTTCCACCTGCACGCGTGGAACCTACATCGCCAAATTTTAGTCAAGCACAACTATGAGCCAAGATACATTGCTTACCAGCAAGTCCTCTGACTCATCCTCTCTTGCACATGGTCTGTCCCTCCAACAGACCTTCGTATTCATCAACATCCTTGCACGCCTCAAGAACGACATCTTCTTGGTCCAACCGTCCAGTTTTGGTAATGAGGACTGTGCTCCTTCCGTGTTGCCTCCCTCTATTCTTGCTTTCACCTCAGATGCACTTGGTATTGATGAGGGAATGGTAGAGAGTTTGTGGTTGGCATATAAAGAGGAAATATGGGGCTGGCCAGCATCTGAGCCAACGGACGAGGAGGAGAAGCTATTCCATGAACACGGCTGGAAGCGTGGTCTCAGTACGTCTAGCAACATGCCCTGCTTTCTTGGTTTCTCACTTACTCACTGGTTATCTAGCTTCTCTTGTACTCTATCCACCAACACATTTCTGCGACAATCCAGCTTGTGGTCGGCAGAGCCCGCTTAAAAAGGCAACTTCTAGGCAGGTTGTTGTTTACACCCTGGCCCGTGGAGTTCTCCCAGCATACGAAATCAAGCTTTACTGCCCCAACTGCTTTACAACATACTTTCCCGACTTCTCCGTTCTCAAGGGCATTCGCACTTACTACGCCATTGATGAAATCCCAGGCTATATTCAAGTCGGAGCTCATCAGTTTATCGAAAAGCGCCTCGTCACTCTATGGATTACCATGATGCTTGTTGCATGGGTCTCGGGAACGAATTGTTCACGAATCTATGATCTCGCACTCTCGCAAGTCGACAATGAACTCTTCGAAGCTGGAGGCTGGCAATTTGGCTGTGTTCTAACGACAAACCATATCTGGGATGCCTTTACGCTCTATACCCTACTTGACTATCATCGTCGTAGGAATACTCGGCTTGTTCTTCCACACACCGGTCTTCAGAAAGACAGAATGACAATGGCGATGGAGGCACGGAATGAGGAGGTTATTCAACGAGGATTTGAAGAAACCCTTGGACATGGTTGCAATCTCTGCACACGACAATGGGTAAACGATGATGGGTCAGAAGGAAAGCTTCATATTCCTTGTTATTTACCATCTAATTGATCTTCTAGAAGACATACAGGTTGTAGTCACCGATGGCCTTGCCATTGGTCATCCACGGTGTCGAGAGCCTCATTGTACCATCCCCCTTAACAGCAATCAAGATCGCTTCTGTCCTACCCACGCTTTCAGAATCAACGAGTGTGCTGTTGTTGGGTGCAATCATCATGTTCGTTCTGGCTACAAAACATGCGATAATTCAGAGCATATTGAGATGGAGGATTTACACACTGCCCGTGGTCAGGCTGCTTTTACACTTCGCAACCGCCTTAATCGACATCGAACGGCACATCCACACGATATTGTTGCTGGCGATAGTAATGGAGACCATTGGGTGTCAGAGGATGCTATACAGGAGGATGATGAATGGTTTGAGCATGAACCGAATGGCCAACTGGTTCTCCGCAGACGAGCAGACCCAGGAACAGTTGGTGTCGGGGAACCGTGCGAAACGCAGGACTCAACTTCGTGGACGACGAAAACAACGTGCTCATTTCAGCCGTGCTCATACTCATAATGAGCAGACACTCGTTTTCCCCTGTGGTCTAATTGCAAGTCGAGCGACCTTCTATGAGGCCGAGGCTGTTTCCAACGTTCTGGTATGTATGCCCTGATTTTTTCTCTTTGTTCATTCTTATGCAAGCCCAGGTTTTTGTCGAGAAGGCCTATTCTGTTCCCCATGCCCGAAAGCCTCATCATTTGATATACGACAGTAACTGTGATGCAGCTCAGCAAGTTGCTGCCAACGAAGATTGGTCGTGGTTTGACGACATAGGCATGTTTGTTGATGTCTTTCATTTCAAGAACAAGCACGACGCTAGCCACACATTCTGTCAAGAGAACTGTAATCCAGCCGATTGTCCACATCTTATGGATGGTGACAAATGGTACTTCAACACGTCGGTTGCAGAGCAGATGAATGTGTGGCTCGGTGGTTATCTTGCAATTGTGCGAGAAATGCTTCCAGTCAAGTATAATTTCTTCCTTAATGAGATGATTCGTCTACATAATCATATTACGCTACAGAAGCTTGAAGACGGTGGACATAATGTACGCGTACTCCCCCCTCGCGGGCCCCTTCCTTCCTATAACCGTCGTAGAATATAACCAAGTAATTTTTTGTGACTACTGAACAATACAACTGTATAAACAAATCAAGGGCAAGTAAAAACAAATCCTAAACCTTCTTTCGCCAAGCTGTCCAGAGTGCCCCACTGTCTCGACCCTCTTTTCGAAGCAGTGACGATGCCCTAAGCCAAATTGCCTTCTGCTTGTCAAAGGTTGCATGTACATAGCGGCCTTTGAAGACTCGTTCAAAGCATTGCTCCCGCTTGAGTCCTGGGTAACGGCTCTTCAATTGGGTCATTGCAGCAAACCCATCCTCCATTTCTTTGACAGTGAGTCCACGCGGCCACGATAGTTGTTTGCGATGGGAGTCGCCAATAATTGGTGATGAAGGACAAGAAACATCGTCACAGTTTGGTGATGAAGGACAAGAGGAGTCGATAGATGTGGCTGAATGGAATGTATGCGACTGCAGGGACAGGGCTGAGGGAGGTGGAGAGTCGAACGTGAAAGTGTCGGATAATGGTGGGATAGTAGTGTTAATTTGCAGACGTGGCTTGGATAATTTTTGCGGTGTGATGACCTCGACTGATGGAACCCGCTTTCGCTTCCCCTTTAGAAACCTATGCCCGGTCACCTCGACATCTGAGTCGTCTGCCTTAATACCCATCTCCCGTAATTTGACACGCACTGCCTTGCGTTCGGCAGGTAGGTTGTTGCGTATATGAGGGCCGGTAGTTGGATGGAGCGCCATCTGGATTACTTCATCATCCTTTTCGCCAACAGTGTTCCGAATACGCAGAATAAGAACTATGTCGGTCTTGACAATGTGTGTGTGGTCGAGGTCGATGTCTAACCAGAAGGGTTCGTTATAAAGCTGTAGCTGGGCTTTGCCATCGACTCCAATCTTCTCCATAGTCATCGGGTCATCGGAGAGTCGATATCGTGGCCATGCAATCGTGGGCTTATTGACAGTATTGATATAAACCATTTGAGGGTCACTGCCGTTCTAGAATTGTGTTAGAATAGCTTGTTGTTTAGGGAAAATGAGATGCACTCACGAGAAACAATAAACGGAACCGCTGGACAAGGCTAAGATCTTGGGCGAGTCGTTTTTTCCGCGGATGCGTATTCAAAAAACTTGGCTGAACATCCAAGAAACTTGCTGGTGGCACATTTTCGAAAGCATTTGTCGGGGTTGGAGGGTCCATCCATGAATCTGTCATTTGTTGCGTGATGCGGCTACGAGCACCAGTTGCTCTTGGCTTAGATTGAAGAGAGGATAGGGTTGGTGGGGGAGAAAGTTCGGGGGAGTCAGGGAGTATTGGTGGGAGAGAACGTCGAGAGGAAGCTGGTGTCGTCATCAGCTGTGATGGCCCAGCATCCCATATATCGTCTTGTCGATTCGACTCCTCATTAAGGGCCTGTTGAACTCGCATAGCAAGTGCGTAATCACTTTCAAGCGACAGCTCCGGCTCCGGAAGGGTAAGATCGTATGGCAAGGCTTTATCGAATGCCTGAAGTTCCCCCTCTTGCGCACGCTGATACGCTTCGAGTGCTGCGAGACTCTGCTGACTAGACTCGAATGAGTCCTTGTCGATAACATTGACAGGAAGAGCTCGAGAAGCTCTAGGCTGGATGTAGGGTAGACGATCAAGGGATGATGGAGGTCGTTGGGTGTAAGGTGGGCCACCTGTCCATGTTGCCGTGGATGGAGGTGGGAGGGAGATTTGATTGCTTTGCATTGGCCGCCGTATCACACCAATCTTCTTAAGCCGGTGAGTCTCGTGTCCAGGGTAGTTACAAGGCCCATCTTCGTTGCAGTGTTTGCGGCAGAGAGATTTGCCACATGCACGGTGAAGCTTTGTTGGTCCAGCTTTACAGTCATGCGCAATACAGCCAGAAGTGCTGGTAGTAGGTGGTGTTCGAGAATTTCGTGTACCAGGCGGCATGGAAGCTGAATGAAGTGTTGGTGTTGGTGACGAAAAGTCGAGATTGACAGTGTACAATTCATGCTCTGGGTTTGAACACTATATAATATATCAGCCAGAAGAATAAATGGAAAGCAGTAGGACGCACCACTGCCTCAGCAACTCCCGACTCTCTCGTCTTCCAAGGAAGGTAACTCCGACAGTGTGGGCAGCGAGATGGTGCTGCTGGCAAGACAGTATGGCCCGGCGAGGTGTAATACATGAAAATCCGGTGTACTTCTTGATTTATACACTGAGCGAGCAGGTCTAAGTAGCCTCAGCAATGCATGCAACAACACTCACTTGGTAAAAAGTGCTGCCAGGCAGCGCCCCACCCTCTGCACTTTTCAGGCTGAGGTAGCGGCTACAGTTGATGTATGGGCAGCGGCGAGTACTTGCTCGCGACATGTTGAAGTGAAGAGCGTCCAGCGAGTGGGATAAAGAAACGAAGGAAGTGGGTGTGACGAGACGTGTCGTCGTCGATGGTCACATTGGGAGGCCGATTGATGCCGAGATGCCGGGAGCATCATAGCATCATAGCATCATAGCATTGCCACAACTCGAACTTTTTGAGCGACAGGACTGAAAATGAAACATGTCGCAAAATTCAACTTGAAATCACAGCCAAAAAAAACCAATGTATACATAAACATCCTATTTATGACTTCAAATCTGACCGGTTAACGACCATCCCGAGCGCTACGTACACTCAGGCAGAGACTGAGATGGATGCCCGCCACATCGGGCCTACTGCGGCGACAGTACCTGATCATCAAACGCCGTTGAAGTTCTTGGGATTCTCCATCACAGCAGTGAGACAGATCGCATTCTCACGCTCCGCGTTTGCCAAACAAACACAGCCCAGCGCGGACGAAATGCGGCGGGCAATTCCCATAACTACTGCGAACTTTCAGTCTCGCGTCGACGGCTTTTCCGATGAACTCGCTCCCGAGCACAATCAGATTTTCCATCCCGCAACTGAGGCCGCCACCGTCATTTGATCCAGGAGTCCCGATGTGATCGACCATCTCTGCCTAAGCTCTGTTCAACACGGGCAACCCATCAATCACGGCACGGAGCCGAAAATCATCCGGGAGACTCGGGCCGAGACACCAAATACTTCAAGTTGACTCGAATGCCTGAGAGCAACAGGGTAACTTTCATTGTGGGTATGGTTACATGTTCGAAATCTTTCTATGCTAATATACAGTACGCCTATTTATCTAACAAGTCCTCTCCGATTCCGCTTGTTCAATCGTCGCCGGCCCATACACAGAGCCCATCTTGTCCCCATCATGATGCTCATGGCTGTCGTCGAGTGTGAACGATGGCTGCCCGCAGTACATCGACTCGCAGTCGCCCCGCTCAGCGGACGATGCCGCCGCGGCATGCGACAGATTGCCGAGCTGGAACGACCGGGCGGAGCGCGTGCCGATGCCAGAGACGTTGATGTTTGGTGATAGATGGAAAGTCAGCGGGCCGCTGCTCGCGTTGACGTTCCCTGTGTCCTGTGTCCACGCGCTGCCCTGGGCGACGCGGAACAGGATGAGGAGTGGCGCAATTCCCTGTTCGGGGTTATGAGAGAGAATCAGTTGAATAAAGGTTTGCAAACGCGCCTGAACCTGCCCCAGCGAAGACAGCAATATGTTCTGCAGCGGGGTATTCCGGGCATAGCAGATCAAGAACATCAAGCTCCAGATGGCGTACAGTGCGGCAGACTCGATGAGCATCGCGGCAATGCCAACGTAGCGCCGCGCATAGGCGTGCTCCTCGCCCATGGCCACCTGTATTCGCCGGCCCGCTCGCCAGATCCGCCAGATAATGCCACATGTGACGGTCATGTTGAGCGCGATCGAGAGCGACCAATAGCAGATCCCGAATCGCTCGCTCAGGTCGGCCCAGAAGGGCGAAGCAATGAGGAAGAGCGAGACAACGAGGAGCACGGAGAACGTGACGAGCCCGAGAAACATCAGTGCTGGCAGGAGCGTGAGGTAGTGGTTGTTCCCCCAGATGATGGAAAACCGCCAGAGCTGAGCACGGAGGACTCAATGTCAGCGATGTCGTGGAATATTTGGAGACACACCATCAGCCCATTGGTCATCCACCCCATCAAGATATACCTATCCAGCTTCACGATCAAGTTTCGTCCGGTCGTCGGAAGAATGCTCCAACTCACGCGATGAACGCAAACATATTATAAAACGAGTTATAATATAACGCGCCGAAAGCGTTCGGGCCGCCTGGGATTCCCCGGTCGTCAACATACTGCATCTCATTGAATTTCGCGTTGGTCGCAAACGCCACCGTTGCGAGCGCGAAGGTCAGCAGGACGTAGATGATCAAGCCGCGTTCGCGGGATCTGCCGGGTTTCGGCCGGACGAACAACGCGAGTGTGTTGAAGGCGATTGTGGCGAGGATGCCGTAGCCTACGCCCGAGAGAACAAAGCCGTCAAGATTGGAGCGCTCGAGCCAGAGGTCGGCGGCCGACTCGCCCGGCGGGGCAAACGGGTTCGACGAGTCGGAGGGAGGGATGACTCTCGTCATGGAGGAAGGAAAGCCCGACGCTACAGTGGTGAGCCTTTAAATACACGATGCTCAAGGGAAGCACCACTGGGGCGGGGGCCAGTGTCAGTAGAGAGACGGACGCCCGCATGTGATGTCTCGGTGGGAAAGATCGCTTGGAGCTGCTGGACTGAGCGGTCAGGGCGTTACATTCAGCAATGGGAAAGGACGCACAGAAACGAGTAAGGCGTCAGTGGGCCCGGAGAAATGTCGCGATGATATCTTCCCGATCTTTCATGGCCCCGCAATGTGAGTTTTCTCATGATCGGTTGGAAGAAGGACCGAATCGATGCTCACTTTAAATTTCTGGGTTCTGCGAGCCGCTATCGCCCTTAAGTCCACCAAATAGTCGCAGAAATGTCCCCAGTGTGCTCTCCACTTCTATCTCCGCGACACAGGAGGAGGATACTGCCAGGCGTCGTCATGGTCTCCTTCCATGGTTTCAATCATGCAACGTACTACTATGAGGGGAGGCGGACGCATCTCTGGACTCTTAATCGCAGGATCTCGGGGCTCTCTGAGTCACCGGTGCTTGATCAAGCCAGTGAGCGCTGAGTTGCGGTTGTAAACGTGCGGGCGCGTGGGAAGCCCCACAGTTTACCCACAGTGGCGAAAACGCACTGATCGCCAAACTGGAACGGTATCAGAGATTCAGGATGGGGATTCATGGCGACGGACATGCGAAAACTTGAAGCAGGAGTACGTTGGGTCTTATACTACTTCGAGCAGAGCGCGACGAGGGTGGACGACCGCCTTGGCGGAGTGACGGCGGAGAGGAAGAGCATTCGTCAGCGTGACTGTCAAAAAAAAGATGTGACAGCTACCTTTGACGCTCACCTCTTCGCAAATGGTGTCGATAGCGCTCACGAAGAGCCTCACGCTGTTGGGCTTCTAGCTCATCATCTACGCGCCATCTCTATGTTGCTGACTGTGACGAAACAGCCCCCGGGTATTGTAGTGTCGCTGGGAAGAGCGATGCTTCTCGACACCTGGGCCCGCGACGGCCCTGAGGTACAAACACACACGGGATGCGGTCCGTGTGACGGAGTAATGATGCGCCCGCGGGACGGTTCGATGATGTGGCGCGCCGGCGCAGTATGGCCAGTGTGTACACTAATTCTTCGGGTTTCTGCCTGCTGAACCAACCGCTGAAGTTCAATTCGCTGGTGCACCGGGCTTGGGCTGACATGTGTTGAGGCCGCGACAACCATGGCTACTACTCCCGCCCACTTGAATTTAACCCACACACCGTCACGACCACACGCCCGCCATCATATCTCCGCACCCCTTGTTTATCGAACCTCGGATTCTTCCCGGAATCAACCTTCTTCGCCGAGAGGAAGTTCTAACTTCCACCACGACCTGCTGGCTGAGTGTCTGCTGGTTACTTATCGCCCACACAACGAAAATAGCCGTTATCGGCATGTCTACAGGCACAGGCACGCACCTGATTCTCCGCCCCTCATATATATCGTCATCGTCATCCACTTTTCTCACCAACTCCCATTCCCGAAGCCCATGAATTTCCTCCCCGCCGTCGTCCTCCTCACGGCCATTGTTGCCAGCGTGCTGGCGGCGCCAAACAGTACGATGATCGTTCCCTCACTGGTTGCTTGCACTGACAATGTCCGGCAGAGCGCGGTGAATTCGATGTGCCCGCAGCAGCAGAGGATGTGGACCCTAAGATGAACGCGGTCTTTTGAGTACGTTGTCACCCTCGATCGGGAAACTCCCGCAGCTGATATCATCCTAGTCGCTTGGTGGATAGCTCTCACTTATGCCCTTATTATTTGCGACTGTCAATACCGTCTACTGTGTTCGGTTTATAGATGTATACATGTGTGCGCTGGGATACTGATATCCTATATCGAGAAAGGCTGCAACTCCCGTGACCGAATTCACCAGCTTCGATGGCAAGTTACCGCCGTTCCCTCGATTCGGAGATGGCTACAAGCTGGTCTTGGTATATAACTGAGCACCCAGTTGAAGGGAATGCAACACAACACACACACCAGCAATGAAACTACCAGCCACACTTCTCCTCCTCCTCGCTGCTGCACTGGCAGTCGTCGCCACGCCCGTGCCCTGCATCCCCCTTGAGGTCGTTCCACCGCCCGGACAGCCGCCAGCCCCACGCCCAGTCGATTCAAGTTTTTGCCGTCGCTGGTGACACAGTGGTGAGCTACTTTGCGCAGAGGGAAAACATGTGTGCTGAGGCAATGGCTAGAACCAACAGTCACTGCAATTTTTTCAAGACAAGAGATGTTTTTTTTGTTTCGGGCCCCGGCGGCCCGGGCCTATAAATCTGATACAAGTAAAGCATCACACAAATATGATTTTTTGCTTGTTTCTTGTTTAATAAATAGTTTCTTGTGCATGTGGTATGAGACAGAGGAATATTCTATTCATGGGGTAAATAGCTGAGCTGTGGTCAGAGGAATCACGGGTCACATGGCGATAGAGAGCTACCGTTTTGGTGTAAGGGCAACCCCAGAGGCTCCGACAAGGGGAGGTGCTATATCCGTGCCGACTCTGGCATTCAATTCTGATATCCGATTCCAGTATTTGGTTTTTACACAATGAAGATTTACTGAGCATTTTCAATTACTCCGACTTATGATCTGTGCAATCATCTATGCCTTGTTCCTCATATGCAACTCCTCTTCTACTTTACTTGACTTTGTTCTAATCTTGTTACTTACTTTGTTATCCCTTATTCCGTTTCTGTTACTTCTCGTAGACCACGGCGGTCTCTGCGGGGCGTGCCTGTGAGTCACGGGACATATGAAGGGGAGGAAGGGAGCGCACCGGTGACGACGACGCCGTATGTGGGCTCGACGACGACGAAGGTGGTGTGCCCCGCCGCGTCGACGCCGGCCGGGGACGCGGTCACGGGGGTCGGCTTCGGGAAGGGGATCAGCGCGGGGAGCGTCGTGAGCACGGCTTTGCGAGCAAGGGGGGCCCAACATTCAAATTATGTACATAGGGCCGAATGTTTTTTTTCTGGGCCTTCAGACCCCCCCCCCCCCTCCTGCCTTATATAGTAATGATCTCCCACGAAAACGTGACTGATGCGATCAAAATCGCATCAAAATGATCGATAGAGGTCTTGAAAATGGAAAATGTGATTAAATTAAATTGTAACTAGGCTATTATAATGTTCCTATGCCTTTAAATGAACTTTCATATAAAGTTGTATTGCTTCTTGCATCATGATGATATGTTGATGCTATCGAAGACTGTGACAAGTTTAGTCACTTCACCAAAAAAAACTGGGTTTCACTGCATTCAAAGGTATAAAATGGCATTTAACATGGAAGATCTACATATGAAAGGCCTCCTAAGGCCTCCTAAGTACCTCTTGAAGCATCCCTACACCAAACACAAAAGTTTTTTTTCTAGGCTCTGGACCCCCCCCCCCCCTGCCCCATAGCCGTGATATGCATCTTGCGCCCCCCTTGCTTGCGAGGGGCTTGGTTGCAAGAGGAGGAGCAAGAGGGCGGGCAGCATCGTCGCCTGAAGAAAGCACCAGAGGCCGGGGAAGTGATGCATCACCACTGACAATGTCCCAAGATGTCATGAAGCTTCGCGGCTGGTGATCGCTGATGCCCAGGGCGAAGCTTCATTGATCAGAGAACTGTCAAGAACTGTCAGTCAACTCAGACTCAAAATATACTGTTTTTTTACTTGGTTAGGGTTCGGTTAGGGTTAGGTTAGGTTGGTTAGTGTTTGGGTAGGGTTGGTTAGTGTTTGGTTAGGGTTTGGTTAGGGTTTGGGTGAGGGAAAAGGTACGTTTGATATGCTGTTGGGGGACCTCCGGTAAGCTGCCAATAACGAAGCTTCATGACAGCTCTGACAACTGTCAGAGATATGAAGCTTCATTTCCCCGGGTAGGCCTGAAGAAAGCTGTACAGGCGGCGATTGATATTCCCTCATAAGCGCGCGCGCCTATCCGCGATCGACGTTTCCTGATCGGTGATGCGAGTTTCGCTCGACGTCGACGACAGCGTCGGTACCGAGACCGACAGGTCTCGTCCCTCCCGCCGTACGTGGCACCTCAGGCTCTTCTCACCGCGCCTCCCTCTACCCACTGGCACTGAGTTTCTTCCAACGATAGCTGCAGGTCACAAGAGGCCGTGGCTGGCAGCGAGACACCGCCGGTCGAAGACAGGCAGAAGACGTCGCATACGCCTGCCACGGCCTGGGAATCGTCTTGGCATTCCAGACAAGGTCAAATTTGTGTAAGCCACGAGTTGCAGCGCTGCCCTCACGAATAGCTCAGGCGCGCGAATGAAAAGGATGCTGCAACAGTGCTTTATCGTCACGTCGTGTGCGTGACGGCCAAAGCGATGCCGTTCGCAGCAAAGTCGGAAGCGCTGTCGTACCCACTGCCCAGCAGATCTGCAGAGGAATCAAAGCCTGGGGCCGCTCGAATCCCGGCGGTATGTGGCCGGGTTCGACATGGAGGTTGGCCGCGGCATGCAGGAAGAGCGCAGATCGACAGAGGCCCACGTGCGCGTGGAGGTCGTAGCCAGACATGCCCCGGCCCCGCCCGGCAAGCACCAGCAAGCAAGCCGAGCGAGCAGGCCCCTGGGATAGAACGGGCGGGTACCAGATCTTCCCTTCGAGGCTCTACCCCCGCCCCCTCTTGCGAGTCGTGCGTACTTGTCGGCCCGGAACGGCGCGGTGCGAATCGGCCCAGTTTGCCGTGCGCCGTCGCAGTGCGACGGGATACTCCCAGCGCCATCGCGTTGGCGGAGAACTCTGGAGCCACTGCCACTGCCGTGGGCACGCCGTTCGAGACACGGGCAGGCATTCATTGACAATTGGAGAAAGCTTTTTGCCCGTGTCCGCGTCGATGACGGGTGCGTTGGCGACCGGCGTTGTGCGCAGCACAGGGACGGCGGCGCGCAGGAAGGGACGCCCGGTATGGAGTCAACGGCAGGCTGTGCACACCAGTGCAGTTGCTTCCAGGCAAGTGGGGCTCCAGGCAAGTGGGGCACTCTGGCTCCCGTGGGCCACTGGCGCCGAGCGCACGGTGCTATCTCCGTCGCTCCTCGCACATACCAACGGCGATAGTCGTCGTCGTTGTCGAAAGGAAGCCTTGAGGTGGCGCACGTGTGAAAAATAGGACGAAAAGCAGGTGACAGATGATCAATGATCATGATGCCCAGTTTAAATTTGTGCACGACTGCGGCCGTATTGGGACACTTCCTGCCTCAGTGCGTGCTAAAGTGACCAGTTATCGGTTGTGGGTCGACCATGCAAGTAAGGATGTACGTGCATACCTACATCTGCAATGGGCAAGGATAGTCCATGCTGGGCCAGGCTATGTATAAGCTGTACTCCCATCTGTCCATCAAATTCAATAAAATGATGAATGTTCCTGGCATCACCAGGTAAGCGCCGCCTCCCATGGGCAGCACTCTTTGCTCTTGACCCCCATCCCTGCACTATACAGCAATGTCTTTGAGCTCTACTTCTGTCATGAACATCTTTGGTATGTGAATCGCCAGAGTCCAAGCAGTGGAACCTGGATGCTAAACATTTGTGCTTACAGGGGGGACTGGTGGTGCTGGTGGCCATGGAGGAGGAGGGGGACCGGGCCAAGGCCCCCAGATCAATGTTGACAAAGCTAAAGTGTATGTATTCACTGATCTCTGAGGTCACTATCATAATTCTGATAGATTTTAACAGGGTTGTTCATCAGGCTGACATAGACTGTGAGTAATGATAGATGCTGTGATGTTCTGCCACTGATAGATGAAAAAGCAAAGGAACGCAAGAAGCTGATGGACTGGATCTCTCCAATCAACTTCTTCCCCCGCCACCAGGAGATTTATGAAAGCTGCCAGAAAAATACTGGAAACTGGTTCCTACAAGATCCCGAGTTCCTTAAATGGAAAGATGGGACAGGGAAGATACTTTGGTGTGCTGGAATCCGTAAGTCCAAGTAAATACCCCCTTGTCAGCAATTAATAACGCTATCCAGCTGGTATGGGAAAGACTGTGCTTGCGTAATGTATAAAGTCACATCAGAGATCAACAGCTAATTCTACTATAGCTCCCAGGTTGTTAAATACCTACAAGACAAGAAAGACTCTAATGTCGGTGTGGCCTTCATGTATCTCAACTTCAAGGAAACCCAGATACAAACGACTAGAAACCTACTAGCTGCAGTATGGAGACAACTTACTACTGGCAAGGATATTACAGAAGCTGAGAAACTCCACAATCTACATAAGGATCAAGAAACAAAGCCAGGTCAAGATGAAATTGATCATCTTGTTGTATCTGCAGTTGCAGATTTCGACAAAGTGTATATTATTGTTGATGCTCTTGATGAGTATATAGGAGATGATTGCCACATGCTTATCAAATCTCTGATTCAGTTAGGGAGAAGTGTCAACTTGATGGTTATGTGTAGACCTCATGTGTCTCCTCCTCTGGAGCCAACCCTGGTTTTTATTGAAATTGAAGCAAACAGAGAGGATATGAGATTATATATTTCCAGCCAAATTGAGAAGCATCAAACTCTCATGGATTTTATATCTGAAAGTCAAACCTTGAGAAAGGAGATCATTGAGAAGATGATCTTAAAAGCAAAGGGAATGTAAGTGACCTCAACCTCAATCATATCTAATCATCTTAATAAAATGTAGGTTTCTTGTTGTTAGGCTCCAACTTCAGCTATTAAGCCAGGTCCTTACCATCGAGGCATTAGAAACAGCTCTGGACAGCTTACCTGATACCTTGGATTTAAGTTATCAACGTACAATTGAACTGATTAAACTGCAGCCAGCTAGTCACAGAGAACTTGCAATTATGGCACTGGGCTGGATCTCACATGCTAAGGAGCCCTTGACAGCAACTCAGCTGCAAATAGCTCTTGCTACTAGACCAGGGTCAATAGGGTACCTAGCAAGAAGCAGCTTGTACGCATTGAGCATATTATCAGATTATGCTGTGGTCTCT